ATGAGTCACCATGACAACAGGCAACAGGAAGTGCCTAAATGCAGAAATGTAAAAAAAAAATGTGTTTAAAAGACAGAGAAACAGTGCTACAGCTACGAAGGAGAAGATTTTTGCTCGATTTAATGTGTAAGTTTATTTGAGGTGGGCTATGGCAGGCCGTTTTTACAATTAATAAAAGCACTCCTCTCAAGCCACATGATCGCATTTCCTTTAAGGAAAGATTAAAGTTCTGATTACGTATAATCCTAGATTAGTAAAGCAGGAACACCTGTTGGGAATAAACTGATGCATTTTGTTATTTTACAATTTCTATTTTTATTATTGTCATACATATTTCATAATAATTTAATTCTTTGTTTAATTTTGTGCACTTTTGCATTTTCTTGATAACATCCATTAGGTAGCATTTCTTTGCAAATTGAACTCCACCAGTTTACTCCTTTTCCGCCCACTTTGCGCTAATAAACTTTATTTAGATTTGTCTTAATCCCTATCAAAGTTTGAAAATGGAACCGTGTGAAGAAAATTGACTTGTTCAATAGGCACCATCTAAACCCCATCAGAGGCTGCATCAATAACTAGATTTAAATCATTGGCTGCTAAAGTGTTTTTCCATTAAATCTGTTTAAGGTAGAAAATGTATTCCACACATAAATGATCACATTTCGTAAAGTACTTTAAAAAGTGCATTTTATTCAGACAAGATAAGCGAAGCATCATAAGCGATGCTTTCCTTTGTGTTGCAGGTGTTACAGGGATATGCTGTGACAGCAGTGGCGTGGCTCTACTGGAGTCGATACATCTCATCCTTTATGACCAGAGCTCAGTCTGAGCAGAAGAAGGAGAAGCCCAGACAAGACAGTAGAGCCTCTCTGAAGAGGTTGATGGGATACATGCTGCCGTATACCGGACGCTTCATTGTCGTGTTGGCTCTAGTGGTTCTATCATCCTATGGTATTTTAAACAACTACATTCAGCAAAATCTTCTGTTAGAGATTGCTCGCAATTTATATATCCAAGCTAATGGTTCATTAGTTTTTTTTGTCATACCGAATGTTTAGCTCCTAGTGGTAATGTGAGTAATTTACTGCAGGTGAGATGGCTATACCTCAGTACACTGGTCGGATGGCAGACTGGATCATAAATGAAGAAGCACCTGATGCCTTCTCCCAGGCCATCACGATCATGACACTATTGACCTTTGCTAGGTAATGCCTCAAAATAACCTTTCTATTAACCTGCATTAACATGAAGAGAGGAAAGTGTCAAAAAGTATTATTTATTGTATTTATTTATGAAATGCTACATGTAAGGTAAAAAAAGTACTTTTACAGTGTAACTCCAAACATAAATTGCACAGATGTTGCTTGTGTGCCTTAAACTAGCTTTGTGTTTGCTTCAGTGCTGTGTTTGAGTTCATGTGCGACCTGACCTACAACATCACCATGAGCCTCATTCACACCTCAGTGCAGGGAGCCGTTTTCCAGGCTGTGCTCAAACAGGAGATCGCTTTCTTTGATGCTACCCCCACAGGTAACTTTTACAAATATGTTAACAGATTAATTTTTTTTTTTGTAGTAAGCTAATTACTTTCATCAAGGTCAGAAAAATAAATTTCAAATGTATTTATAATCTGTATATATAGCCCTGTGCAGATTCTTATGTGCCCATGTTGACCTCTAACTTTTGATTTATCTCAGGTGAGCTTGTTTCCCGTATTACCACGGACACCAATGACATGAGCGAGGCGCTGAGTGAGAAGCTGAGTCTCCTGATGTGGTACACGGCTCGTTTCGGCTTCCTGCTGTACTTCATGGTGAGCCAGTCGTGGAAAATGACCCTGCTGACCTGTATGGGACTTCCCATCATCTGGGTCATCCCTGAACTCACCGGACATTTCCACCAGGTGATGTCACTCAATGAAACATCTCTAACTAGAACTGCATTTATTCATTCACTACATGCATTATTATAGATTCACCATAACATTGTATTTGCATATCATTTTATCACATTTTTACTTATTAATTTTTATTAGGTTTTCACATTGCATTTATTTTATCACTTGTTGCATTTCTTTCTTATCATAGTAAAATAACAGAATCCCTTTTCCATTGGATAAACTCCTGCAAATGTCAAAGATGGATGACATATAGTCGTGTGGCGCCTAAATCTGTCATTAAATGATTTGTGTTTGTGCATCAGACTATTGCTAGGAAAGTGCAGGAGTCTTTGGCCAAAGCCAATCAGGTGGCCACAGAGACCTTCTCCAACATGAAGACAGTGAGGAGCTTTGCCAACGAGGACGGCGAGACGGAGAAATACAGGCAGCGGCTGGACGAAACATACAGTCTGAATAAGCAGGAGGCAGTTGCTTATGCTGCTTCTACCTGGGCCAACAGTGTGAGTTTTTTTTTCCCAGCTATATATTAGTAACATTTCTGCTGCTCCTAGAATATATTTTTGTGCTATTTACCAGAAAACAGGATAAGAAACTCACTAAGAAACGTAGTGAGATGCTCAACAGCAATGTTATCGCTGTGGTAGTTTTTCATAAAATATGTAACTAAACCAATTACTTTTGTTATGTTACTGCAATCTAAAGCAGCTCTTTAGTACAACTTGATCAATCAAAGCGACTTTTCCTAAGTAATCTCTGAGGAGCGGTTACTGGGTGGTGTTCTGTATGCCTTAGATACAGACTGAGAGACGATGGCAGCGTAAAGAAAAGCACAGCGTAAAGAAAAGCACAGTCAAAGTCTAAATGTTGCTGTGATTTGCTTTTCACTTTTATCAGTATTAGACTGAATTCACTTCATGGTTTCTTTTTTTTTTTTTTTTTTTTTTTTTTTTTTTTTTTTTTTTTTTTACAAATTTACACTATATTTAGATTATACAGTCCTGCTGTATAATATTTTTTAATCGTGGCGACCACTGCAGCAAGCAGAGAGAAGCACTGAAAGAGAAATTTGTATGTTTTCTGGAAATTTTAAGAAGTTTTGAGGATGTGATACCCTTTGGAATAGCACAGGTTAAAGCGACAGCTCAGATATTAACTTGAGATCATTGGGCAGACTCAACTTGCTGCAAAGTGATGTAAAAGAAGATTTTTATAACTAGCTTAAAATAAGTCTTAGCTGCTGTCTTCTCTGATCATGAGGCTTTTTTAATGAATGTAAACAGTATAAGGATACAACGAAAATGATAAAGAAGGTGGCAATTATTTTTGAATCAATGTTTTTGCCCTTGCAGATGACCACTTTGGCCTTGAAGGTGTGTATTTTGTACTATGGGGGGACCCTTGTGACCCGGGGGGTTGTTAGCAGTGGAGATCTGGTCTCATTTGTTCTCTATGAGCTTCAGTTCGCTTCAGCTGTTGAGGTAAGCATCAAACACTGGACAGATAAACATTTTTTATATTACTGTTTCTTATATAGGCTGTCATGCGCTACTATCCAGAGGTTAAAAAAGCAATTGGTGCCTCTGAGAAGATTTTTGAATACCTTGATAGAAAACCTAAAATACCTCCTCCTGGCAGTTTGGACCCAGAGGATTTTAAAGGACACGTTCAGTTTAAAAATGTTCGGTTTTCCTATTCTGGAAAGACGGATGAAAACAGTCTTGTGCTTAAGGTATGCTCTTTAAGGCGGCTTGAAGACTTCTTTAGCTTGCCTTTACCAAACCTGTTTTAACTAAAACCTTTTTCTATGAAAGGATGTGTCTCTGGAGGTCACGCCGGGCAAAATCACTGCACTTGTGGGACTTAATAGATCAGGGAAGACAACCTGTGTAAAGCTTCTTGAGAGGTTTTACCAGCCCCTGTCTGGAGAAATTCTGCTGGATGGAAAACCACTGAAAGATTATAAAGACCAGTATCTTCATGAAAAGGTGGGTGGCAACCAGAAAGTAGTTTTACAGTCAGCAAAATATCTAGTTAACTGTCATAGGTGGATACATAACTTCTTAAAATTATCTCTCAGAAATGAATTCAGAGACTTTGTTTTAATTTATTTTTGTGTACTCAAATTATTTTTTTAAATGGTGGCTATAATCATAAAAAAAAACACTGAACTCAGAAAACCTGATTATACTGATTCTGTTTATTAAATATATAAATACTAAAAGAGTAAACAAAATAATGTAAAATAAAATTAAGAATGTTTATAAAAATCTTATTATAACTTCAAAAAAAATTGCATTTACAATTTTAAACATTTCAATATATACAACCACAAAAATTCAATCAGTTCAAAAATACTGTATAGATCCCAAAGGGAAATTAAATAATTTCCCACTGTGAAGGCTGGTTCACACAGTGAGATAACTGGGACAATTTCTGCCCAAACAGTGAAAATCAGCTTGTGCTGTTTGTGCCTGGTTGTAGTATTTCTGTGGAGAACACACTATATATTAAAAACTGTTTCGTTCTGTTTCATTTTGAAAATTATTGGCAATTTTTAAATGCTGCTACTTGAATTAGCTTTAATATTTCTTCAAGTTGTTTGTGCATTTCTGTTGTACAAAATTATGTACCAAAATTATGTTACTAAATTGGAAGTCAATTTTGACAGCAATTTAGAGAAAGGAAAAGTTAGCTTTTTATTAGTATCATTGGTTGTGAAATTGTATTAATTGAACTATTGTAGAAGTTTATATTTAGCTTTTAGGTATTAATAACTTTTTAAGTATGAATATAACTTTTAATAGTTTTTTTTTTTAGCATTTTCATAGAGGGTGCAATCCAGAGGAAATACAAGCTTACTCCAAGCCTCTTGCATTCATTTGTTGTTTTTCCAGACTGGAATTGATGTGTTAGCACTGCATTTGCATCTCTTTCCTGTTTTGTTTTCTCTGCTTCACCTGTGCCTGGTGTAATTCTAAAGTTCTGTTTTAAAAGAGCTTTATTTCCTCCATTTGTAGATCATATAAACTGTTTTCCTATTGCTTTTACTCCTGCAGTTTGATGCTGTAACTGAAAGGATTTTGGGGGTATTTTTTTTTGTTGTGGACATGATGGTTATGATGCATTACCATAGAAATTATAGCTTTTTTTTTTTTTTTTTTCTTTTTACACCTGGGAGCTGCTTATCAAAATTTCTAAAACTGAAACAATAGTTAAACAGCTTCTGCAAGTACCAGGTAAACTGAATAGGAGGGGCCAAGGATACAGAGATCTTTAGGTAACAAGTGTGAAGAAGTACAAGTCCTAGCATAAATATATCAGCAATACAGCGTTTTTCACTGAAACCTGGCTGCAGGACGATATTCAGACTCCAGCGTTTCTTTGCTAGGCTTTCTGACCAGACAGAGATCCAATGAAAGCTGACAAACTCAAGGGAGGAACTCCTTCGGAACATCTGGAGAGGATTTCACAAATGAATTCTTTATTAAATGAAGAACTTCATGGACAACAATTAGCATCCTCTTTAGAAGGTTGTCAACAACAACAGTGTGTCTTCATTCAAGGGCTTCTCCAGACCCGGTGCAAGACAGACCTCTATATAGCCTTCAGCTATTAACAAATAAAACAAATTTAATTTCCTTTTGAGATTATTTTTAAACTTAACACTTAACTAGAACTGATTGACAGCTTCTAAACTGATTACAAAATTATAATAAGAAAAGTTTATCTTTTTAAAGGTGTACATTTAAAAAAGATTGAAATCTTCCATAATATGTAAGACGTTAAGCGCAGCTTTAAATAGTCTCCGAACTCAACCATGCTTTCAGGTTGTTGAAGAAACCTTTTATCCAAGTGTCACCAAACTCTTATTCTTTTTTGTATTTTTATAGATTGCTGTAGTGAGCCAGGACTGCGTGTTGTTTGCTCGCTCTGTCCGGGAGAACATCAAGTATGGCTGCGAGGGCGCCTCAGACGAGGACATGTTCAGAGCTGCCGAGCAGGCTAGCGCTCACAAGTTCATTAGTGAACTTTCAAAAGGATACGACACAGGTACGAGTCAGAAATGATTCTGTGAAATGCAGGATCTCAACACGTAGTTTTTATATTATAGGGGAGACTTTTAGAATCTGCCTACAATTGGTTTTCTTATAAGTCTTGACTTCATTTTTATCACACATTTATGGTTGATCTGTGAATTTCAGATCCTGAAGTATGAACTGGAGTCGCAGGAAAATACTTTCCTAAATTAACCTTAAGAAAAAATGTGTCAGTCTGACGATAATGATTATGTGTTAAGCCATGCAGAAGAAAAGTGTTGGAGAGAATGGTTAATGAAAGATCATCAAAAGACAATGGTGGTTTTGTAATGAGAGATACTGCACAGAAAAAAAACAAAAAACATATCATCACACAACTTTCTACCTGCCTGTCACAGCTCAGAACAGGGGACCCAGTATTCAAGACAGACAGACCTTTTCCTCAAAAAAACTTATTACTTACTTATTATAAAATGGATCTGCAGTAGCAGCAGCTAGGCCGTCTAGGGTAGGAACCTCTGGTTAGACAGTTCGGTCTGTGCCCAGAGAACGAATAATCCAGCCAGTGGGCTGCCAACAAGATGCGGCGAGCGTCGCCAAGAGTGTCTCAGAAACCGCAGCCCCAGGTCTGGGCAGATGTAGGAGGGCAGGATAATCCAGAGGTCGAAGCCAAAGCTGGTGCCGAGGATTTGCTCACGATTTCAGAGGTCCTAGGAGGCTTGAAATGGAAATCCAGGTTGTTGTCAAGAAGCAGATCCAGGTTCGGTCTACAGGCAGAAGCTCGAAGACAGGTCAGGCAAACAGATCAGAACAGGAACAGGCAGGCTCAAAGGTCCAGAGGCAGAACGGGTCAGGATCAGGCAATCACATGTACTAGAAAACTATCAACAAAGGCTCAAATAATCTGGCCCTCATGACTTGTTAGCAGGCTGGTTAAATAGAGGCAAGAGCAGGTGGATCAGATGAACAGTAACGAGGTGGAGTCAGTTGCATTAAAGGAATAATTAAGCCAGTCATCAGCATCAAAATCATGACACTGCAATGACTAACTCCATGCAGTGTTACTTACATTGAAGTCATATCCCTCATGTTACATGTTTATGTGGAAAGAATATGAAACACTTAGTTTGTGTTACAATTTCGCTAACGTTTATTCTTGCATATGTCCCCATTTTTTCCGTATATAGAGTGAAAAGTAGAGGTATTCATTCGGCTTTGCCGCTGAAATAAGTGTCAACAGAATTTGGGATGCTCTAGTCAGAGATTTTTTTTTTTCCTTGGCCCCAAGCCATGAACTGATACTATGTAATCATTCAGTATTCTTACTGCTTCAGGAAAGTGTCTGATTGTTTGTGAGAAGCTCTCTCTATACATCAGAGAACTGAGTTCTAAGATTACCTGTTACTAATTATAATAGCTATTAAAATGTATACATATTAAAAAGCTGAGGATTTCAACTTTGTGTGCTCCTTTTACATAGATGCTGGAGAGAAGGGGGGTCAAGTTTCTGGAGGGCAAAAACAACGTATTGCTATTGCCAGGGCTTTGATCAGAAATCCAAAAATCTTGATCCTGGACAACGCCACCAGCGATTTGGACACGGAAAATGAATATCAGGTAGGATATGCTTCCATAACCTAAATTTTCACACTTTGGTTAATATACCCCTTAAGTTGAAAAGAAATCTTTATCAAACCTCGCAGGTCCGTGAAGCGTTGGCGAAGCTGGCAGAGGAATGTTCTGTGCTGATGATCTCAAACAAGATGAGTGTCGCAAAGACAGCCAGTCATATCATTGTCCTCAACAATGGGGAAGTGGAGGAGGAGGGCAGTCATGATTTTCTAATGGAGAAAGGCGGCCTCTATGCAGAAATGGTAAAGAAACAGGAAGAGGGCTTCAAGCGACCAAAGGAGGAGAGCAAAGATGAGCAGTGACCCAAAAATAGACGGTTATCGGAGTGAAAACTCAGCCTAACATTTATTGTTGAGAATACTCTTAATAGGGGACTTCAGTTCTACTATAAATGTTTGCTGGAGTTTGCTTCAGTAAGACAATCGCACCTTAAACAACGGGAAACCACTCCTAAAGATTTTGGATTGCCTACATGTTAAAACCTCTGTTAGAACATTCTATCACAAGGATCTATCAAAAAGTACCCCTAGTTGAAATACAAACTCAAAAGCCACAAAACATAAAAAGAACACAGTTAATTCGGTGTGTTATCATTACATTGTCCAATTCTAGATCCTTGCTTCACAACTTTCATATTCCGCAAAAAAACAACCACATACTGTTTTCTTCAAAAACGTGGAAATTATTTATTTTGTACAGAATATAAAGAGTTGAATGATAATAAATGGCCTTTTAATATATTTGGTTAAAAAAAGACCTTTATTTATATTGTTCTTTAGAAACAGCACAAAAGAGAGTGTAGGTCCATGACTGATTTTTATCTTACACTCACTCTAAGAACATTCCTGAGTCTGACTCTGCTTCACACCAAGCCTGAGATATTACTTGTCACACCTTTTACTCTTTTCCATTCCAAAAGTTCATCAAAAAATGTATCTAATAGCCAGAATTGCATCCACTGTGTTGATAAAGAGAAATCTGTAAGCAACACCTACTGCAGCCTGAACATTTTTTGTATTTATAGATAAGGGAATGTAAATCTGTCCCTTATATAACAGTCTAACCCAAACAGTAGAAGCTGGTCAGCATTTTCTTTTTTTTTTTTTTTTTTTTTTTACAAGTGAATCAACTTCAGAGACAACATTAATATCAGTCTGAAAAATGTCTTTTAGAGAAAAGAAAAATCATTTTTGTCGCATTTTTTGTTTTGCGGTATTTTTTTAAACACCAATATTACCATAGTTAATTAGAAATATGTATATTTTTTTACAGGTGTAACACCTTCTAATGGATTAAAAAAAAAAAAAAGATTCACAAGGACATAGCATAAAATAATAAAATTGGATTGATTATTTGACTGGCTCTAATCTTCACAATGTTCATAGTTACTTTAAGCACATTAACTGTTTAAATGTTACTTATCACATGGTTAAATTTAAAGATCTAGTTGAAGCTCTTTTTCTTGAAAACATGTTTTTTTTTTTATGTTTTTGGTCTGGATCTTTTTCTAAGAAACTACTTCAAAATCTTCCCCACAATAGATTTAAGTTGAAGAGTCTGAAGGGACTTTTTTGATACTTTCATTTAATCAAGACAATAACAAACAGTAATTCAAAGGAAACCTGCTGATGTATGACTAAAAGGTATTGAAAGGGATCTGTCAGAACCTACTGCATGTTAAAAAAAAAAAAAAAAAAAAAAAAAAACTGGTCCGTTTTAAGAAATTATGTTTGCTCTAGCTGGTGAATCAGATGTAGAAAAGCTCAGTTTGCTTGGTTTTTCTGTGCATTTTATTTTGCTTAGAGAATTTGTGACTTTTCCTTTCATATGTGTGTGTACTGTGAAGTTTTTTTTTTCCATTTTATTTTTGTTATTAAAATTTTTGGGTTGCTTCATGTAATATGGTGCCGGGTTTAACACAATCAAAACAATAAAGCCCTTTTTTTAAATATGGTTTGCTTCTTATTCAAATTGAAGGTTAACTGATTTCATTTCTTATATCTTTTTTGTTTTTGTTTTTTAATCTTTATTTAGTTCCCCGTTTAAAACCACAACACTGCATACATTTCCCATGCCTGCTATAAACCTAGTTTGAAATGCTTCAATAATTCACGAGAAATGACTGGTGGATCCTAGTGGGGTCAGTATCTGGAGAGATGACTACATGTCTGTTATTTAAGCCACGTGGTTCTCTCTTCTGCCTGGAGATGCTAATCTTGATTTGCTGAAAAACACAAATAGCTGTTTGTTGGGAGAAGTTCTGTTGGGATACTGTTTTTTTTATCCAGTCTTTATTAATGGAAGTGTGGATAGAAGTTAAATGAAGCTCACTACCTACATAAGACATTTTAGGAGGATTTGAAGCCTGACTTTGTAAAGGTATATTAAACAGTTGCATTGACAGTAGTAAAAAAAATGCTTTATTAGAATTAATCGAATTTTGGTTTTGGCTTCTAAAACGTGAAGCAACCCTCAACTATGTATGCTTAGGTTGTTTGGATCCTAACGTCGCTGGTCAGCCTAGATCATAGAGAACATATATTGCATGTAAAAGACAATTCCATCAGTAGGAAGCCTGCTGTGTGTGAATCCTGCAAAACAAAGCAACCAGAGCAGCATGACAGCTGCTATTCCGTGAACTACTGGGTGTGTTTGACAGACATCAGCAGACAGCCAATGGGAACACCAGATCGCTTCCTACGTCACCGGATGGACGTAACGCTGCCGCGTGACGAGTATTTACCAGATTGGAGCGGAAGCGTCCAGTCGCCATTTCATTTCGGAGCTGCGTAGCGGTTGTCAGGTTGAACAGCAGCGTCTACGGGGTATAAAAAGAGAGAAATTGATGCTAATAACACCCCGCCCTCAGCCCAATGGAAGCGGCCGTCAACCCACCTCAAGACAGGTACTTTCAGACATATCTTTAAGCTAATGTATAGTATTTGACAAGCCTTAATTAACCGTTATAACGGACTATTTTCCCATGATCAGCGGAACCGTTAGCTTTCTAAACCAATACAAACGGAGTTAGCTAGCTAGCTATCAGAGCCTGCTATGATCCGTGCATGAATTAGCTAATACTCATTAGTGCATATCTGGAATTAGTCATGCGATGTCTGTATAAACTATCCGCTCACAGGCAGCTGTCGGAGTGCAGGTAGATGACAGCTGCAGCCTCATCGGCTTTCTCAGCAGGATGCTCCCCGCCGGCTTTCAGTCAGGCGGCTCATTCATTGCTCAGTCAGGCGGGGAATGCTAACTTCCATCTCTATGCGAGTGTCGTAAAGATGACTTTTCAGAATGGTCTGGTTTAAAATAGGAATTCATTAACTATTAGCCTTCGAATAAACTGACTGCTCCCAAACGAATCGTTGCATTTTTCAGGAAACTGATGGGTGTCTAGAATTCATAATTTAGATCTGAAGGGTTTTTCAGTGCTGCTTCAAAATGGGAATAGCAGTCTACTGATATTGATATTGATGTTAAGGCTCTGGTGATGAGAAGGTTTAGTAATATTGTTGTCCGCTGTACGGTTCTGTCATTGTTCAAGGTGTGTGTTTACAAACTGTGAAGGCGGGGCCATCATCAGCTGGTAGGGTGTAAATCCTGCAGCACGATTTCTATTAAAGATCGATGCTGGTCTAACTAAAGCAAAAATGTCTTGTGATTGATTAATTTTTTTATGTTTTAAACCTTTACTTGCGCATCAGATCGGTCTTGTTTTGGGTTTTTTTTTTTAAGTGTGAAACTTTTGTGCACTTTAACTCACTGATTTTGGAGGTTATTACAAACCATCTACTAGGACGGAGGTGTTCAACAGGGGGTCCGCGACCCCTAGGGGGTCCATGGAGGGTTGATTAGACTGTGTATATATATATATATATATATTCCCCGTGCAATTTTTTCTACTAATTGAAATGTCTTTAAATCCACATTAACATGAATTCAAGACACTGTAGTAAACAGATAAATGGAGGCAGAAGATGTCTTTCAGTCATCAATGCTCACATTCAGCGACACACAGGAGCTCTTTCAAGCTGGGCACTGTTTCATTCACAACACCTGTCCCATCAACCAGGAATCAGAATCAGAAATACTTTAATAATCCCAGAACGAAATTACTTTCGTTACATGACTCCATTTGTAATAGAGTAACTATAGGACCAGTTTTCTATAACACCATTTCATACAATATATTAAGGGGTCCACACTCCATCTCGCCATCAGTTTGGGGGTCCTTGGCCTGGAAAACTTTAAAGACCCCTGTCAACAGTCAAGTGGTTGGAGCCCAAACAACAGCCGTAACGAGCTAAATGTGATTTACTACTGATATTTTAAAAAGATAATGTAACTGAATTATAGAATTTGCACACCTTGAGTTTAAGCTTAAACATTATTTCTCTAAATGTATTTTACTTTTTTACTTGTTTATTTTATTGTGGTATTGCCAGTGTAATTGTGAGATTTACATAAAAGACATAAAGATATACTAAATATATTCTAAATATATTCTTAAATTGCTAAATTAGATATTCAAAAAGCAGCGCTGTTAAGACAGTAGGGATCTAGGCTTATTCATTCATTTTCATACGATAAATTACAAAAATCTATACCAAAAGGAGCAAATTGCTAGAATTGCTTAACTCTTCAAATCACATGTTGTATTGTAGTAATTTTATTTTATGAATTATGTGATTTTTATGTGTGTGCTAGGTCTGAAACAATCAGATTAATCGATTACTGAAATAATGGTCAACCAATTTATTAATGGATTAATAGTTAACTGGAGTATACTTTTAAAACATGGCTTTAGCTAACAAAGCAACCAACTTGGAGCGGTAATTATACCTAAAAAAAAAAAAAAAACCTTGCAGTTAAGGAAAAAAAAAAGTTTACTTCTGTCAAAATTCTCCAGAACTCCACAAGTGGAAATGTTTTAATTTCCCCTCTTTTAATTCTGTAAAAAAAAAAAAAAAATCTGCTTTAACTAACCCTTTCCTATTCCATTTTTAATATTGGCAGATTAATCAATCAGCAATTAATGGTTAGTTGCAGCCCTGGTGTCTACCTCAGTCAATATATCACATGTTGAGTTGTTGACATTTACTTTAACTGAACTGTAAAGGACACTATTAAACCTGTAAACATCAATCGTAATCATATTAGAATTTGTCTGGTAAATCTTCATTCATTTAAAAAAATTGTAAACTCACTAATAACATTATCTTTTTAGAAATCATTATTATTAATGTTTTTAAACATGAATCTCTCAGTCTATCAATTTATATTAAAGACTCAATTTAGTCTTAATTTTCAAGTCATCATCCCTATTGCACAGAATATCTGATCTTTTTACTATAACTTTTTTATATTTGAAGTCTTGGAGGTAAGATTATTCTTTTTCTTACGTCCTGCAATTTTATTGCTAAAAAAAAATAGAAAGATGCAGCTTTTAGCTTTATCTTTCTGCAATTTTTTTAGTGTTTATTTTTTCTTTAGTCTACCAGAAACTGATTATTCCTTTTACATGACCCTTTTAAAGATGTTTAAAACCTTTATTCTTTAGCATTTTAATCAGACTGAAAGAAGATTGTTAGATTTTGTGTCCATTTCATTTGGAAGGCTTATTTTTTTATCCTCAGTATTTTTTTGTGTTTATGCATCATTTGATCCCTTTAGATTTATGGTATATTGTTTTGGCTTTTACCTGATAGAATTAAGATTGACCTGACATTTTCCTAATGATATTGATTGGATGATCTACGTCTGGGATCATTGAAACTGTCTTTACAATATATGGTCATGATAAATCATGGAAAATTTGGAGATCTTGTGCCTTGTAAAGGACACTGACATGAATGGCCTCTTACTTTTTTTTATTATTTAAAGCTCTTAAGCCTTTAGTGGAAAACTGTTCATAGGAACACTTATATACAAAACCTGCTAGAGAGCAAAATTGCTTCTGATTAGACACAGTTTTTTTTTTTTCTTTTTTGAACATAATATACCAAATGCAAAATATGCCAATTGAAACTTTATATGTTAGAAAAAAATTATAATTTTGGGTTGAGTTGCACGGAAGTGAAGTAGAATATGAGAACCATCTAGCTCATCTGAAACTGTAAATCCTGCTGTGTTCTATAATTAGGGTTTCTCTCTTTTAAAATAGCTGTTTTATTTTATTTTTATTTTATCTGAAGCGAAGATTTGGAGCCCCATTTGGTGCAGTGATGTTTCCCAGGAAAGTGCTAAAAGTAGCATTCTGTCGATGCATTTCAGTTTCTTGGGTAGGTTATTTGACTGGGAGGGACATTTTTTCTTTCCCTGTGAATAATGTGAATGAATAGGCCATGTATAGAAAAGTCGATCCAGAGTATCTTGGATTCCTACAGAACATTCAGCCTTTTTTTCCTCTGGCTTTTTCATCTCTGATTTCAGCTCTCTGCTTGGGTTGTCGAGTAGCATGTTGGACCAGCACTGCAGTTCAGGAAAACGCATTCGCAAGCCCTCCCTTCTATATGAGGACTTTGAGAGTCCCTCCTTGCCACATACGATGACCCAGGCCACCCCTGCCCCTCCCCAGCCTCCGGTGAAGGACCCCAGCCGACCAGGCCGCATCACCAACCAGCTGCAGTACCTTCAGAAAACCCTGATTAAGTGTTTGTGGAGACACCACTTTGCTTGGCCGTTCCACGAGCCTGTGGATGCCTACAGGCTAAACCTGCCGGTAGGTCGCATCTTTGAACGGATATTTTTCACTTCTCGTTCCACTGCCTGCACTAGATGTCATTAATAAAACAAAAAATGCTTCTTTTTTATTTCTCTAAAAATTAGTTAACACCTTTACAATGCTGCTCATGTTCTTACACATTTTAAAATCATTGTTTCACCTCTTTCAGGATTATTATAAAATCATTAAACAGCCCATGGACATGGGGACGATAAAGAAGCGTTTGGAAAATAACTTTTACCAAACTGCTGGAGAGTGCATACAGGACTTCAACACAATGTTTACTAACTGCTACATCTACAACAAGGTAAGTAGTGATGAAGTTATTGAGAGATGGCACATTTATGTAAAACCCAAAGAAAAAACTAAGAATTATTCAGGAAAAACTGAAGGCACAAGTTAATGTTTATAATGTATATGATGAGGGCTGACATCTTTTCACAGAAAACAAAAATAGAAAGAATTGTAACCAGAATTAATTGACTGTATTGATGTGTACATTAAAAATGTTTTATTGGAAACAAACGGATAATAATAAACAGCCAATGGATCACCTAACTTTTTAAACTACTCTTAATCATGTTCCATTGTTGTGCTGCAACTAAAACCTTTGCTTTTTTTAAAAGATTTATTTATCCTGTCTTGGGATTTTTTTTCTTATTTGGTGGCGATGTTTTGAGAAATGAAAAAAGAAAATCAAAGAAACTGCATCAGCAAAAAATACATATTTATAATAGCCATCATAGTTGAATACTAATCCTATTTCACTGTGACATATCTTATTGACACTCCAAGAGAAGATACTAGATTCTTGTATCTTTGAAAATCTGTTATAAACCTTAACCTGTTCAAAAGAAAATGTTATGTCGTCTAATTCTTTAGCAAAACATTTTTAACGTTTTGTTGTTTAGCCTACAGATGATATTGTGCTGATGGCTCAGTCCTTGGAGAAGATCTTCCTGCAGAAAGTGGCTCAGATGCCCCAAGAGGAAGTTGAGCTCCCTCCTCCTGCTCCTCGGAACAAGAACAGCAGAGGAAGAGGTCGGAAGTCTAACAGTGAGTTAGGTGAAGTCCAATTAAGATTGAAAGTTTAACAGCTTAGATTACATGGCATTTAATAAAGCCCCTGCTGATGAAATTCTATTTTAAGTTTCATTTCTGTTCTTTATCAGTATTTAGCTTATATTGGTTAAACCTGATTAACTATGAAATATTTTTTGCTGTTGGACAGAATTTGTTCTCTAGTTTTCCCCTAATGTTCTCTATGACTCTGCTTCGTGTGCAGCATCACGGGCCCAGCAGGTGCCAGCGGTGTCCCAGTCCGCCTACTCACCTTCCTCCTCCGATACAGGAGATTCCATGTTGGCTAACTCTCCTCAGACCGTTCTAACCAAAAGTCTGCTTCCAGCTAACATCATGGGTCTGCCTCCTACACAGCCTACAACTAAGGTATGGAAAATTACAAATTTAGAATAATTTCAAAGAATAACACATAAGATTTTAAACTTATGAGTAGATTAAACCAAATGTGTTTTTATTTCTTTTGATAGAAAAAAGGAGTTAAGCGTAAAGCAGATACTACCACCCCCTCTACCTTGGGTTTTACTGTTGGCATGTCAGGATCAACGCACATGGTGGGCTTGGGGAAAGGAGGACATGGGGGCCAAGTTCATGACAGCTCCATGCACACCGTCTCCTCCATGGGAGGCATGAACCTGGAGACCCCACCTGGAATGGGCCTGGTTAGAAGCTCCGGTGGTCCCGTGCTCCTGCAGCCAATGATGGCGACCGGTCGCAGGGTGGGCAGTGGACGTCCTATCAAACCCCCAAAGAAGGACCTGCCTGATTCCGTTCAGCCTCAGCTCTCCAAGAAAGGCAAACTGAGTCCACAGCTGAGATACTGCAGCGGGCTACTGAAAGAGATGCTGTCAAAGAAACATGCAGCTTATGCATGGCCCTTCTACACTCCGGTAGACGCTACAGCGCTTGGACTTCATGACTACCATGATATCATCAAGTGTCCCATGGACCTCAGCACCATCAAGGTAACTCTTAAACTGAACATCAGCTGTCTTTCTGGATGTTGGGGGGGAAAAAAAAGAAAAAAAGTTTACTTGTCTCCAATAGAAGGGGTTGTTAGCATTATACTTTAAACTGCGTGTGTTTTGACCTCTTTAGATCTCTCTGAAACCAGCTGCCATGTGGCAGAAGTCTGGCTGCTGCAGGCTGCTCTATAAATCACTCATTACAATGTTTAAATGTTTCTCTTTGGAAAGAGTTAATTGCAACTATGAAAACATGTCATGAAAATTAAAACATTAACAAACAGGAATTAGCATTAGAATTGTATTTTATTTTATTTCTATGCTACACCTGTATCATCTTTCTGTTTTTGCTCCTTTGCTGATTATGGCATGGCAAGTTTATTTGTAAAGGACTATTCCGTATAGGTGGTGTTCAAAGCTCACTCCTTTCTCTTTCAATCTTTTTCTCATGCTTGAGGCGAATTTCAGGGCAAAACTTTTAAGATCGCATACGCGGTGCCTTACTACACCAAGCTGACAAGTGTCCTCTTTCAGCACTCATTGCGTCTCAGCCACTCTCCCCGCCTCTCTGGCAGGTGTACAAAGCGGGGAAAGATGCCCATCTGGACTTCACTTTATTTGTTTTTGTAAAGTTATAAGGCAAAGTCGGCTCATGATGCTTTAACAATGGGGGAAGTGAAGGTATTTGTCATGAGAAATATTGGAATCGGTATGAAGGATGAAACATGCACACAGACTCCCACTATGTACGCAGTCTTTGCAAGTATGTGGACAGGGTTCCCGCGGGTCCTTAAAAAGTCTTAAAAGGCATTGAATTCTTCAAAATAAAACTAAGGCCTTAGTTGGTATTAAAATGTCTTAAATCAGTCTTTCGTAGGTCTTAATTTTTAAAACATCATAAATAGGATTGTTTTTATTATGATTTATTTTTGTGATCTAAATAAAACATTAAAATTGACCTTTTTTTTTTTTTTATTTAAAAAAATAATGGCTCGCCACCTTTGGTTCCGTCCCGATAGCGGAAGCAATAAAAGCGTTGTTGCTGCCGGGACATTTGGGAGATGCACCATTTACTTTTTGTCTGGAAAATATGAGCAAGTATAAATGTAACGAAAACTGGCTCCAGCCAAGAGTTTTTCTGGCTAAAACCAGGGAACATACATGAGGCACGGTGTATTTTGTACAAGAAGTCATTCAAGCTCAGAACGATGGGAATTAAGGCAGAGGAGTCACACATGCGAAGCACGAAACACAAAGCGTCAAAATGGAGTTACCGAGAAACAGCCGGTATTTCTCAGTTTTGTTCCACCCTTGTCTCTCCAACGCCTCCACTTATCACAAATCAAACATGCTAAGAAAACGATACAAAGAAAAATAACTGCAAAAATGACTTAGCACTGGTTATGTTGGGGCTTTAAAACTGATTTGTTTTGCTCCCTGCTAAAAAAAGTTTGTGAATTTGGTTAAATAATTGTTAAAATATATCTGTCATTTGTTTGTTTTTAGCTTTCTTCCTGTATGGGAAGCTTTTCAAAATTTGAAACATTAGTGCAGTGGTTTATGTTAAAATAAACCTTTGGGTTAAGTTGTCGCAAGCGGGTTTGTCTTGTGTTTCTTGCAAATTTGGTCTTAAATTTTTATTTCAAGTGGCATTAAAAAGTCTTAAAAAGACTTTAATTTAACTTGCCTTATGCTGTAGGAACCCTGGTGGAATCCTTAAGGGATTCCCAGGTCAGCTGAAAGACATGCAGTCTCTGGACATGCCCTGGGTCTTACTTTGGGCCTTTTCTCGGTTTGTAGATTTTGAACCTTCTAAAACTAAACACAGGGCTTTGGGAAGTAAAACATTTCGTAGCTCCTGAGGATTAGATCACTCTTTTAAGTTGATAGGCACAATGTTTATGCTAAGAAAAGCTACATATTACATTTATCTGTGCATCTGTAGGTTGTAAATCTGTTGTTTTGTCATGTGTTTCTGTTGTGCTGCAAATTCTAAATGATTGTTTTCCTTGTCTCCAATAACTTCTCTCCTCCTGTAAATAATTCTGATCTGTATTTACTGTACATAGCAATAGAAGGGCTAAAATATGCAACGTTCTGCATGGGTAATTCACCTTTTATGGAAATTAGTGTTGCGCCAATGCCATTTTTTGGCCCCAATAACTGATAACTGGCTGTGCAGTATTGGCCGATACAGATACCATACCGATACCATCTGTTTGAAATTGATGTGTGTGTGTGTGTGTGTGTGTATATGAAGAACTGCATGCTACTTGGATGTAAAATAATTGTCAGTATGGCTTTGTCGAGCTGCTGCCTACCTTTGTGAAGCAGGATAAGACTAATACAAAGTGAATCCAGTAGAACTTTTTACTGCCTACCTGGAATGTGTTGAATAAACTTTTGGCTCTCAAAATGGTATCTGTGCCCTATTTGTTGGTACTCGCTGATACCGATACCACCATTTTGGTGCTGGATTGGGGCCCCGCCCGATACTGGTATCGATGCAACACTAATGAAAATGCATTACAATTTTTAAAAAGTTTAGTTATACTGACTTCAGGGATGTTGTAAGATTCCTGAGTGTTTGGAATTAAATTGTTCTCTTTTCAACTCTGCATCAGAGGAAGATGGACTGCCGTGAGTACCGGGATGCCCAACACTTTGCCAGCGATATCAGACTCATGTTCTCCAACTGCTACAAGTACAATCCACCGGATCACGATGTTGTAGCGATGGCGAGGAAGCTGCAGGTGAGCTGATCTTCCCTTTTCTGACTGTCCAGGCTTTATCTCCACTAGGGCTGAAACAATTAATTGGATTCATCATGATAGATTGATTATTGAAATAATTAATAGATGAATCGTTAACTGTATAGAGACTCTAAAATGTGAATTTAGCTGACAGATCAACCCACCTTGAGCAGCACTTATACCAAAATTATAAAAAAAAAAAAAAAAAAATAAGAAAATAAAAAAAAAACATTTTTGCATTTAGAATAAAAACCATTTTTTTCTGTCATAATGCTCCATCAAGAACTTTTCAATAGGAAAAGCTTTATTTTTGCTTGGTTTAATTCTCCACTGCTTTGTTTGATAAATGATGGACTGATTTTCTGTTCCTAAGGATGTTTTTGAGTTCCGTTTTGCCAAGATGCCGGACGAACCGCAAATGGAACACACAGCCATGTCTGTAATTGGACATCAAACATCGTCTTCGTCCTCCTCATCCTCCTCCTCGTCCTCCTCATCCTCCACCTCTGAGAGTGACCCCACCAGTGAGAGTGAGGAAAGCGAGAGCAGCCTAAGCTCCGATAGCGAGGAGGAGCGAGCACATCGCTTGGCTGAGTTACAGGATCAGGTGTGTACACAAGTAAGTGTTCTACCTCCCTTTGTTTCATCGTTCTTTATCTCTCACTCAAAACATCATTACTAGAGGCTAATTTATTCTTTTTTTTCACAGCTCAGGGCCGTGCATGAGCAGCTGGCTGCTCTGTCCCAAGGCCCTATCGTCAAGCCCAAGAAAAAGAGGGAGAAAAAGGAGAAGAAAGAGAAGAAGAAAAAGAAGAAGATTGAAAAGCGTAGCCGAGGCGTCAGAAGCAGAGCGGGCTCTGAGGAATGGAAGGTGCCTGGAAAGATGCTAAAGAGTAAATCTGCCAGAGCTGGTGTTTCACAAGCAAAGAGAGCACAGACAAAGAAAAGCAATAAAAACAACAAGTTAGTAGCAGCCAAACTATTAAAATTCACTCAAATTCTCATCTAACTCATCTCCTTTTTATGAGAAAGCGCCTTAAAAAAAAAAAACATGATATCTGACAAGTGCTGTTTTTTTATTCCTCCAGAAACACAAAAAAACCTTTCTACCCTCCTCTTCCTACTTCCATGCTTCCCCACTACGACTCAGAGGAAGAGGAAGAGATCGTCCCAATGACGTATGATGAGAAGCGTCAGCTCAGCCTAGACATCAACAAGCTACCGGGTGAGAAGCTCGGCCGTGTGGTTCACATCATTCAGTCGAGGGAGCCGTCTCTGAGGGACACCAACCCGGAGGAGATTGAGATCGACTTTGAAACCCTGAAGCCGTCGACGCTGAAGGAGCTGGAGCGCTACGTCATGACCTGTCTGAGGAAGAAGCCCCGTAAGCCTTACGGTGAGCAAGGTAGATAACGCCTCCATTTAATGAATTCCTGCTGGTCATGTTTACGAGTGTTTTTTTTATTCTTCTTTGTGTTTTTAAGTTGCTGTATCTCAGTGTAGCATGGATTAAATCAAGTTTTTAAAAGTTAAACATTTTAAACAGTGCATTTTGAGACGACAATGTTTATACTATACAGTACATATACATTCAGCAACTAAGATAGAATCATTGCTTTATTGATTCTATGTAATAATGTACAATGGTGTCTTACCTTGAAAATGTCATTCATTTTATGTGGAGTTTATAATTCAAGTTAATCATACCTTTCGTCAAATCATCAGTGTCCTCCACTAAAATACATTCAATTACATTAATCTAACCGACTCCATCACTTGAGAACAAAGCTGTATGATGGTGTTATTTTAAAGAAAATGTACATTTGAATGACCGAATATTATATAAAAAAAAAAAACAAGACACTAAAATGTACTGAAATAAATCAGTCTTATAAATGACAGTGTGATTTACCTTTGATATCAGAGGCTAAAAAGATGCTGACTGAGGTGGAGAGGAAAAATGTATCAGAATAGTAAATGATATTTTCCTGTTCCTTCTCTTTCATGCTAAGCTTGTGTCACTTTGATCTGCAGTCGTTTTCTGTAAAAAGTTTTCAATTTTATCTGTTTAATCCTGCTTTTCAGAAAGTTTCTCATTTGAGTCAGGCGGTTGTCTTTAAAAGGCATCATTTAAGCTTAGTTTAGGCCTTTTCTTCTGAATAATGTTTCTCCCAACAGTTCCTTTATCTCTGTTGTAGAGATGACCTCCTCCACATCACTTGCTACTTGCTAATCCTCCCTGCCCTACTGCAGCTGTAGCTGGTTAGTTGTGGTATTCACTGCGGAGTTTCCTGCGCCCTCTAGTGGTTGGATAGCTGATCTCATAGCTAATTTTTAAAGCTCTCAAGACTGCAAAGAACCACCTGAGACATCTCATACCTCTAAAAATCAGTTAGTTGGGACACTAGTAAGCCAAGATACATCCTATAAAATAAGATACAAAATGTTTGCTTCATTTAAGATGTAATAAAATATATAGATATATATCATTTAGGGTTGTCAAAAGTATCGATACTCAAAAAAGTATCGATACTGAAACGTTGTATCCGGATACAATACTCATTTTCAAAAGTATCGACACAGCAGAATGTGCAGAATAGTGGAAAATGCACTTTCAGAACACTCTGTGATTGAATAATTCTGTGCATTTTTCAGTTTCAGACTTTTTTTGTAACGGGTGCAGCTGCTGAGAATTATTTTTATTTAACTGGTTTGGCTAGCGTCATTGTTATGTGTGCAAAGCATAGCCAAGGAAGGAACACTTAATTTTAATTTTGTACGTTTTTTATGAAACTTGCTTAATATTGTGCACAGCATACAACCTCAAAATATTATTCTTATTGGTTTTTTTATTTCTTTCTTGTATTTTTTTAGTAATGAAAATATTTCTGTTGAATTTTAGTCTTTGTTTTTATTCTTGTGGTATCGAAAATGGTATCGGGTATCGAATATTTTCCTTAGTATCGGTATCGAGTTGAAAAGTTTAGTATCGTGACAACCCTAATATCATTTAAAATAAAGAAATCCAACCTATCAGGAGTTTCCCTTTTGGTTTTACTTAATTACACGATATTAATCAACTTTTAGATCATATTTAAATTGATTACAGATATAATGGTAAAAGATAGATGTGGTTGGTTTTTCTTTCTGTAAGAAAATCCTTAACATTGTAAAAATAGTCGTATTGTCATTAAAAGGTAGAAGTGGGTCCTTGCTTGTTAACTGCATGTCACGTGTTTGCTTTAGCTTTTTACTTTTTTATTGTCACCCGCTTGTCGTCCACGATTTAAGAAAAAAAAAAAAAAACGGTTAACATAGGACCAAATTGCTGAAAGAAAATTCCAAGTTAACAGATTATGAAGGTCTTAAAGTAATGCCATCATTTTGTTATCCTGTAGAAGTGAAGAATAAAGGCAGCATGTCCAAAGAGGAGCTGACTCTGGAAAAGAGGAGAGAGCTGGAGAGGAGGCTGCAGGATGTCAGCGGACAGCTCAACTCGGTCAAAAAACCCACCAAACCTAAAGGTGAGCTAACGCTGTGCTACTCAAATGCAAAAGGTTTTTTTTGTTTGTTTTTTTTTCTTTTTATTATACAGAAAATAAACAATACTATACTAATTACTGAGACAAATAGAACGATAATTTTAGAGTTAAAGTGACCATACAAAATGTAAATGTCATTGCAAATCTTGCAAAATGTTTCTAGGCATATTCCACCATGTGGATGCCTTCAATTATGTCTTTAAGTAGCTAGAATAGAATAGAAAATCCCTTTATTGTCCCACAATGGGCTAATTCTGGTGTTTATTAGCAAAAACATTATTAAACACAAATGTGGACCTCAGAAAAAATGTATAAGAATAAAATAATAGTGAAGAGTTACAAAATAAACAAATGAAATACTGTATTATAAAGTGTTTTTTACAACATGAATGCTGTACACCTGTAGAATAAATAACCAATATACAGCTGTGGACATTTTTACAGTAATGGATATTTGAAACATAGCAGCAACATCATTAAATGTGCAAAATGACAGCAGCATGTTATTTATTTATGACTAAAATAGGAACTGTGCAAAATCAGCATGAATGTAAAAACTTATTGAGGTTGTTGGGAATAGTGGTGGTTATGAAGTCTTGCTGGGAGGAAGGATCTGTGATAATGCTCCCTGGTGCATTTCGGGTGCAGCAGTCTGTCACTGAATTAGCTCTCCAGTTCTGCAACAGTTTCAGGCATGGGGTGGGAAACATTATCCAACAGAGATGTTCATTAGTTAGGATCCTTTAGTTTCCCCCCTCCTGCACTGAATCCATAGGGCATCCAATCACAGAGCTGGCCTTCCTGATGTTGTGGTCTTTACCAGAATATTTACCGGTAACGTGTTTGAGACCTATATAAAAACATCACATGAATGCATTATTCAACTTTAAATTAGATAGTTTAATGACAAATAACAAAGAATATACCACAATGTATTTATGGATCATCAGTGTGATCAGCTCCATACCAGTCCGAGTGGCAAGTTGATCTATCAGAAACAACCTATAACTGTTTATGCCCATTTATTTCTAGAGCCATTTGCTAACAAGCTGAAGACTGCATCAACCTTATCTTTAGATGACACGTGTTCATTACAGAACATACACAGATATTCTGAATAACATATCAGCATAAACATCTTTTAATAAGTGTGAATGATGGGATAATAGTGGAAGTCGCTGGTTCATCTTTAGAGACGCTGTTTATGAAACCAATAAGGCTGTATAAACTTTAAGACGTGCAAAGACCTTTTTTGATAGTTGCTGCAGGACAAACTTTGGGTCACCTTGCTGTCTGTTCCTGCTGGAGCCATAGAACTCGTTCTAACTCTTTTTTGCTCTTCCCTTAGTGGAAAAGCCCAACGCTGTGGAGACACACAACCAGCCGTCACGCCTCAGTGGCAGCAGCTCCAGCTCGGACTCCTCCTCCTCCTCTTCTTCCTCCTCGTCATCGGACACAAGTGATTCTGACTCCACTTGAGTTAATAAACAAAAGCCTAAAACAAAAACAACGTTAATAACTCAGGGACCTTGGCTGGCCCAGGACAGAATCCACCCTGAAAATTTTTTTGTTTGTTTGTTTGTTTTTTGACTGAGAAATCCGCTAAATTTGTTGTGAATGTGGGACGAAAAGATGCAAAAGGCCTTGGTTTCCTCTTTCCCCAACTGTGTAAATAACTGTAAAAATTTATGTTTCTTTTATAAAGAAGATTTTTACTATCCCCAAAGAGGGAGGAGCTACTTAAAAAGTAATTTGGAAAGACGGGCCTTACTCCAGATCTGCTATTGGCTGGCACTTAAGTTTATCCCGGAGAGATGAACAACTTTTTTTTTTTTTTTCCCCCACATCCTCTCAAACAAGCAGTTTAAAACCAGCAAACTTTTAGTCACATGCCTTAGTTCTCTCACATTTAGTATTAGTTTCAGCTTGAAGGCCAGCTCTAAGGTTGTTAAATGTTGAACGTATATGTTAACAGAGATTTGAGCTGCCTTCTCATGTTCTAAGCCGAACAACGTTTTAGTGGCAATTAAAAGCAGCCATGTAGTGCTTTTCATATTTATTGTTAACCTGAAGTTGATTAGAGTTAAAGTTTGAAAGCACGATTTGTTCCTTCCTGTGTTATTGTGACATTACTGCTGTAGTCAGTTTTCAATCCTGTACAGTAGTGGGTTTATATTGCTGTATAGAATAAGTTTGACATACTGTAATTGCAAAGTATAGCAGCAAGTTGCACATAATTCAGATTTGACTAATTCAGTAACTGTACTCCTCAAACCTTATTTAGACTTATTTTCATTGAATGACACTAACTTAAAAACTGTAAAAGAAACATCTTTGGTGCTTTTTTTTTTCTGTTTCAGCCTCTGACATGTTGTATTTATTACACTCATCTTAACACTAAAACATTTTTTTTTCAAAGAACTACTTTGGTTGCAATGCAGGTATTGAAAAGTGTGGCTGCTAAAAAAAATCCTCCTTAAATCCCAAGTTTCTCCTTTATAAGAAAGGAATCCTAAAACTAAAAATCTTTGAGCCTGCTGTTGAATATTCATTAAAAGAAATGCTTGTATAAAATACTTAAACTGTATTTGCTGTTGCACAAAGTAATGTATTTCTGCTTTTTTCAACTATTTTCCCTTTTTACATGTTAATATCATTCCAGTAGTTGTTTACACTTAAGGCTGCTGCCTCCTGTAAAGCTGATTACTTACTTGGAGAAAAAACTCTCACTGGACTGTAAATTACAACCAATAATCTCTTCTGTAGGACTAATGTGAGTTTTGTGTCTCTGTTTGACATTTCTAGTTTGTATTAAAAACCCATTGTGCTGGAGATGTTCCAAAAAGGTGTCATTTTCTTTGTAATGGTAACTTATTTCCTCTAGGTGGCAGCAGATGCACTTCAATGTTTGTAGGTGGAATTTGTTGGCTTTCAGTTTAAGGTGTAACTCAGGAGGTCAGCACTTGTTTGAAAGGTGTCCTTTACTAGTTACGGAGATTATCCCATCATCTAAAATGAGAATGAAGGATGGAGATGCCTCTGATCAGTCAAGCAGTTAAGCTGGGTTTGAATAGCGGCTTGGGTTGTTTCAGGGTGACAGTTGTGAGGAGGAGGCACTGAGTGCCAATACATCTTCATTCGTTTTCTAAGGAAAACCAGCTGATTGCATTGGCTCCTCAGCAATCCCTCACACCGAACATGGTTGCAGTGACAGTGGAGAGGGGAAAAAAAAAACCTTTTTACAGGAAGCAACCTCCAGCAGAACCAGGTTCGGTGTGAGCGGCCTTCTGTTGAGGCCAACTGGGCATCAAGAAGGAAGCAGACATAAAAAACTAACATCAAAACATTAATTTATAAAGCCTATGTTACCACAAACCAAAATATTGATAAACTGTTAATACATTTTATTCCAAGTACTTGATGTGCTGCTGAAGTTTCCACCTAACAGAAGCATGAGTCAACAGACATCACAGCAGGACTTAAGCCTGGAATGGTCTTTCGATAGCCACTTTTCTATTGCTGAGTCTTTCTTATATATATATATATATATATTGCAAGAGCTCTTAAAATGGCACAATAAACACGCATTAATTGGATTTTCGCCAGCCTCTGACTTCTAAAACTGCATTTTTTTTTTTATGACCCTTCTGGCTTGCCATCCCTTTAAGGGGACAGTTAGAGCTTGTCAAGTCAATAGATAATAGTATAATAATAATTTAAAAAAAGACTCAGCAATAGAAGTAGAAGTGGCTTTCGAAAGAACATACATATATATATATATATATATATATATATATATATATATATATATATATATATATATATATATATATATAGCTCCACCCACTACAGTTTTAAGTGACCAATCACATAAACTGTATTTTTTCAAGTACAGCTCAACAAATGATCTGAAATAAGTTGCATCCATTGGCTGAAAAATTAAGAGTTATAACACCACATTCTTAGGTAGCTCATTTTACCAGATGGCCCAATTTAACTGACATCACCCCTAGTGGAAAAAAAAAGACCTGGAAAAAATGTGTCCCTTATTTTTCTCTTAAAACACGCTAAGTAACCATAAATATTGCTCCTAATTTTTGACTGCCTACATTAACAAACAGCTCCCCATAATAATAAATTACTTCTCATGTTTATTGACTGTGACAAGGTAACAAAAAAAGACCCTGATGTAGAACCTGGTGTATTTCTGTTGTGCATACTAGTTCAGTATCTAGTGCAAATCTCCAAATGAACTTTTGTTTTCAAAGTAACACAGAGAGGTATTTTTTAATACTTAAGAGTACATTTTACAGTAAATCGTTATTTCTCAATATACATACGGCCAAAAATTATTTAGATAATGACTTTTAAAGCGATTTATACTATTTGATGGAAATAAATAATTGGTTGAAAAGGTTTTCACCTCTGCGTCTGATTACTGTCATTTTCAACTTACTTCTTGCTTCATTTAAGCAATTATTAATATTGGCAAACGTTACTTTAAAAAATAATAATAAGAAGAAGAAACCAAAATCGGGCGCATTTGGAGTGGCGCTGACCACAGGCGCACAGCAGCGATCTTGTACCTATTTTATAGGACCGTGGCGCAGCGCAAATGCGCAAAGCGAGCAGTTGGCGCAGATGAAGCTGTTAGTTCAGCCCATCTCTACGCAAACCGCTCCACCAGAAATGAGGCAGAAACTAAACAGGTTGTCCGACCAGTGAGCTAAATAATTAATATCAAATGTCAGTCGTTTACGTGCTGAAATCAAAGGCCGGGGGCGTTAATGTTATTTTCATTTTGAGCGTGCCTAATATCGAGGCTTGTACACGTGACAGCCAGCGATCTCTATTTATTTAGTGGGGCCAAATTTCCGGTGCGGACCAACGGCCACGTGCGCGTGTGATCAGGTAGGCAGATGATCCACCTAAACCACTCCTGTGCCAGTTAAGCAGACTGTTTGGCTGTTTCTGACTTTATGGGTCAGTTTATTTCGGATCTGAAATTATTATGAGGACAAATCAAGCAGAGTTTAAGAAAAGCAAAACTAGCTGAAAACATTTGATCATTAATCCGAGGATCTGGGGCTGCATCTGTTAAGGAACAACAGATCGGCGGTTAGTGGTCTCTCTTTATGCCCCTCAACCTGGAGGTGTAGATGCGTGGTAGTCTGAGGGGGGTGGCTCCTTGCTGAGCCAAGTGTCTGTAGAGAGGTTGTTTAGTTTATCTACAATTGGACTGCAAACACTTTGGTGCTCATTTTGGGTTTGGGTTTTTTCTGCAGTAGGAGGAAATGTTTCGATGGAAATACCAGGTTTTTGGGATTTCTTTCTCCCGCCACCAGAAAAAATAAAATAAAAATCCTCTCCAGGAGCAGAAAATGTTTATAAGGGTGGCCAGGCAATAACCAATGCCCACTGAGGGGTGGCACCAGAACCTCAGGCTCAATCTACACTGTTTCAACAGTAAAATTAACGAGGAACATATCCATATTTTCTAAATAAAGACAATCTATACTTTACAGCCTTTGCTAACAAATAGACGCATATATTTAAACATCCATCTATACAAAAGGTATAGTGGATCAAATCCTTTCAGGTTTGAGTTCTGGGGCGAACATCTTTTCCATTGTCATTACTTACCTACAGTACTCTTATCAATAATCATTCTGTATAAAATTGACATTTACAAGTACTAATATCTACATTAATTGATTATTTAATTAGTTTTTTATTAAAGTAGTTATTTATGATTTCACTGAAGACTCCTAGATGACTTGCAGAGACACATAATTTCTTCTTTACCCCATAAAACACAAAAGTTTAGTTCTGAAAAGAGCATTAATTCTCTACTTATCATCTTTAATGTTAGTATATTGATGTGCATAATTAACCACAGTGTTTTTGTTGTCAAGTCATTGTTAATATATGAAAAATTAAAATGTATGAATATTCCACTTGAAAGTATAAGATAGTATAGTCTGTATAAGAGGGGGGGGAAAATGGTAGGGATGGCCAATGATTGGCTAAGGGTGGCCATGGCCACCCTAGCCCCCCATCTAGCTCCGCCCCTGTCCAAGAGTAGTGCTGGCAATTTCGAAGCTGTGAATCAATGAAAGAATTTAGCAAAATTGGCCAAAACTCAACACCATACTGGATAATTTGAAATGATTTAAAATAGCAGCATCTGCTGGATATCTTTCAGAACTACGATTGAGCGGGTATCCTAATGTCTGCATTATTTCAGACTTGAACTGGCTTGTTCCATAATAATAGTATTGATAAAGATTATATAAATAATAAAAATAACTATCTGACCTCTGAAATTGCAATATAATAAACAGCCCTTCTGATGCATACCAGTGATATCATGGTGTGCTCCTGTAATTATGTGGTGAAGATTCTCAGTCATCCAGGTCATAGTCAGTCCAGAAAAGTAAAAGAAACTGGACTTTGTCCAGTGGATATTTTGACTTGGATGTGTTAAAGCAGAGATTATCTTCCAGGACACTGGACCAAAAAGAAAATAATAATAATTGAACTTTATTGATCTCATATTGGAGAGATTTGTCTCTGCATTTAACCCATTCCCTTGGGTAGTATTGGGCTGCCACTGTGCGGCGCTCGGGTAATGGTGTGGGGTTAAGGGTCTTGCTCAGGGACTCAGAGTGGCGCTCAACCTCTGAACCTCAGGATTCCAAGCTCTATGCCCTAACCATTAGTCCACCACTCCCCTCAAAAAGAGTGGAGTTGCAGACCCCAATCTAAACATGGCTATTGCTCAGACCTTACTAACCTACATTTTCTGTCCTTCAACTTATAGACATGAATGCTAGTCCAGAGCTCAGCCACTGAACAGTCTTTATCTCTCAAATGAATCCATTACAGAAGCTGTTTTAACTAAACCTTTGTCCCAACATAGAAAGTATTAGTGCTTCTGAGTTCCTAATGTTTCTCATCTGTCTCACCTGGCAGAATACCCTTTGCACTAGACATTATAAAGTATTTTCCTCCCTATTATTTCTACCTCCTTGTCCAGTATGAGGGGTTTGAATTGAAGATAACAAATTCCAGCAACTGTCTGCAGAGACATGCTCATCCAAGGAGGAGTGAATTCTCCATGTAAATCTGTTTCCCTTGATAAAGATCCTTTTCCCAATGGTTGAACTGTATCTGACAAACCGGATCCAGTACTTGCCGATTCACCCTTCAGTTAATCACAAAGTATCAAATGAACCCTCTTGGGAGCTTGCTTCAGTTTTAAATGTAGGGTTATCATCTGTGACAGTATCTAGTTTAACTCTGATCCCTTTGTCCTTCAGCTGTGCTCAGATGATGGGGGACTCTCGGCAGATGGTCGAGGAGCTGCTGGCACTGGTTCTTCAGAGGATCAACATTGAAGAGAGCAGCATGGCCGTTGAGCGAGGTAATGCAGCCTGAACCAAGTGAAGCTTGGTGGGTCTTATGCTTCCATGGTTTTTCCGGCTCCTAATGTCCCTGCAGAATTCCTTGACGTGGTGAAGAACTTTGAGGCAGTGAGGAAGCGCTGGCTTCATGCCGAGCTGGAGCTGAAGAAGTACAAGGAGCTGCTAGTGAAGTCCGATGTGGCAAAAGCTTCTCTGGAGATCAAACTTAAACATGCTCGGAACCAGCTGGATGTGGAGATGCAGAAACGGCACAAAATCGAGGCAGATTATCAGTATCTGGTGAGCCGTATCTAGGCAGAGATGATTAATAAATTAACTGCAGGGGGCGCTAATTACTCTCCTGCCTTCAGAGCAGGCAGATGCAGCTCATGTGTGACATCCTGGTCCAGGACAGTAAATCCAGTGCCTGTCTGAATGATGAGCAGAAATCCATCTTGGCCACGTTCAACCACCGAGGAGGCAACACCACACTGCACAGGAGCAGCAAGCGGTAAGCCAGCCAGTCATGGGGCCTGGTGGGGGCATATCAGCCAATCACAGGAATGTTTTTAACAATTAACTTTAAAATAGTTTCCATATTTTTAAAAAGGTACAAAGATAAGAAGACGTCAATTGATAAACACTTTAGAGACTCGTCATGACCATGTGATGCGTCCATGTAATACAAATACAGTAAAGTATATTGTAAAGCATTAGCCAAGTTGGGGAATCTGACTTTTATAGGCAAGATGACTTAATCTTTAAGTCATCTTGCATTTTCGCAATGTCATATTTGTTCTATTTTAGATTTTTTTTAGATTTTTTTTTTCTTTTTTTTTTTTTTTTTTTTTTTTTTTTTTTTTTTTTTTTTTTTTTC